TTTTGTTTATTCAGAATTTTATTTATTTGTTCATTTACCAGAAAATATATATATGTGCATATAAAATAGACAACAGATATTATTTTTTGTATTTATAATTTTATATTGCTTGCTAAAGTTTTAGCTTCAGTTTCCTATTTTTGCGATCACAAAAATGATCCAGATGGAGAGAGAATATCTAGTGACAATGAAATTGAACACACAAAGTAAATCCAGATAGCTGATATGAAGATATAAGAATTTTTTATATAACATAAACTAGAAGAGACGTGAAATTTTTAATTAGTCGTCGTGTCTTCAACAACTTAAAACAAAAACAAGGCTAAAGCTCATGTGAACTCTAAAGAAATCGGGCTTCATTTTATTTATTTATAGTACCGTAAAACCTTAGATTGCTAATTAGTTTTATGGATATTTTATTCTCGAGAAGTTGACTTTCAATTTAAAGTATTTTTTTTCAATTTAAAGTATTTTCAAAATAATAAAATAAATGATTAGATATTGTGCTAAGTTATTAATTTTTGAATAAGATCTTGAATAAATTAAATATCTTAAATAACGTAAATTGTAAAATTATATCTCATAAATGTTAGTTTTGCTGAAAACCAAAGCAATTGAGCGGTCAAACGATTAAGCTTTAGAGCTTTACACACTGTGTAAGTGTATAAAACAGTTGCTTTAAGTTGTTCTGTTATTTTAATATGTGTCAAAAAATTAACTGCCTTACAATATTATGCGTACAATTTTTACAATTGACGAAAAAATTTTTTTTTGGATTTTGGACCTTATAAGCTCTATTCAAATTAAAAAAGCTACGTAAAAGCAATAAATATATATATATATATATATATATATATATATATATATATATAAGACTATAAACGGTTAATATTTCGGTAGGTGCGTTTTAAGGTTTTCCGTGACCATCCAACCAAACTACGAAAACTAAAACGAGTATGTAGGCTCTCTGTGAGCGAATTGGAAAAACAACACACTCAAAAATAGCTCTTTTAAATGTCGTTTTAACTGCTATCTACATTCTAAAGTTATTATATTTTATTATTATATCTAATTATTCTTATATTAAATAATATTGCAATAACTATAATAAAATAGCATTCATTTATACTGTGTATTTCAGTTGATTATATGTTTTGTAAATTAATTGATTGGTTGTCAACAGAAGAAAACTACATGCTTTGTATAGTCATCATTTTTAAAATTAATATTTTTTTAAAAAGTAAATACCTACTAAATATTATTTTAACATGTTAAATATTTTTATTTATTTATATTAGGCATAATAATTATTGAAATGTAACATTTTTTCTACTATCAGAGTTTTTATATTTTTTACTGCATCTAAATTAGAAAACGAATCACGTCGAAATCACGGAAGGGCAAAGCGCCGAGAACAATAAAATTCTGGCGCCATCTTGTAACAGATTATCACACGTTCTCATAATGATGTAAAATTATGAATACGTGACAATTTAATAAAGGTTTATTGTAAAAAGTAAAAGTTTCACCTTCTGACATTGTCTGGCGTATTCGGAAGCTAAGTGTTAGCGTGACCTGAATGAGATTTCGTTTTATGAATGGATCCACTTCTCAGTAAACGTTATGGTTTGGATAAGACATCTTTGGCTTTACTAGTCTTGTAACTAGAGTTTACGTTGGTAATTTAAGTAAACCATCTTCTGTTTTCCCCTATTGAATGAATTTTATTATTAATTTAATATTTTATTAGCATTACAACACACTTTATCTTAATATTTATTAAAGATTTTTTTATATAGAAACACTTGCCTATATAAAATGACATTATCTAAAACGAGAAAATTGTGAATCTTGTTTTTGAACTATGTAGGTAGGTACCTATATATAAACTATTCACACTAACTTGACTTTCATACCGATACGAGATACTCGAGTGGATTTGAATTACCAATTTTGATGTTTTATCAGATTGAAATCTTAACTTTTATCTTACATTCTTAGTTATTAGATAAACGTGTTTTAATAGTAATTTCAAATAGGGTACAAAACAGGTCTTTTAAAATAGCGTTTATATTAAGTTTACATTTTCAAAAGAATAACCATAAAATCAAGCAAATTTAAATCCCGATCATATATTTTCTTTTATTGATCATACACATTCTTCAAAATAGCAAAAATACAACATGCTTATACAAACCTGAAATTGAATCCAAAGATTTTTTTCCACACACTATTTATAATCTTACTAACTTGTTATCTTATTAATTAACAAAACGAAAGTAAATAGTTAAATTATTACCTCGAAGAAAAATCTTTATGTGAGCATTACACTGTATAATAGGCTAAAGGGAAAAGTATAGATATGCATCTCCTGATAGCTATCTAAACTTTGACAAATAAACCACTACAAGCAAGAAATATAAGGTGAGAATGAATTAATGAGACGAGACCCCCAGCAAGTATTTAAAGGACAAAGCTAAGGTGCAGCATTACATAGCAGTATCAAGTTGCAAATTTAATACGCTAACTTTATTTTAAGCAGAAGTATTTATTATAAACGGCCCTAAAGATAGTTCAGATAGTTCAAAATTTACATTAACTTGTACACGTATGATACATCTTATGGGAAAGTGCGAGTAAGGTATTATGCTTTATTCCTATTGAAAGTCGTATTTGAATAAAGGCTGTTTCCAGTTAGATTTTATAGTAACTTAAATTTTATATCTACAAATATAATATTTGTGAATATAAGGCTTAAAATATACTTATTGTAATTGTTTACTTATTGTTTTATTGTACGTAGATAATTTACATTCCATCGGAGAATTAGATAAACTCTACTTTAACGACTTCTTCGTTTTTTAAATATAATGAAACTTATTAATTTTTATTTTTTTTCCAATTTAGAGTTTTGTGACAAGATTTGGGTAAACGATTATAATATATTTAGTAAAAAAACATTCGCCACGTACATAAACGGAACCCGCTGCTGAAGCGTCGTAGACTATCCTAATTAAATATACCCTAATTATATATAAATTAAATATTTAAAATCATCATTTAATTAATTAAAATCCTATAAGAAAATAAATATACTACCTACTCATTTTAACTAACTTTCATCTATATTAACAAAGCATTTAAAACCTAAGTATAAAATACATAGGTACTTTGTTTAACAATGTATAAGTAGTGCCGCAGTCTACGCGTGCGCGTAGCTTTCTATGAGCGTTTGCAAATATCTATGCCTAACTAGAACCTACTGCCGTGATTGGAGGAGCGTAGTAAGTACTACGAACGCGACTACCAATGACAGGCTGTGGCGCAACAATAGGCCGATCTACGCCTGTAGCGAAATAGCGATCAACTTGCACTGCTTAGAATCTATACTTGTAGGTATTTCTGAGATCATGTGAGACTCGTTATCTAAAACCTCATCATCATATCTTAGTGGAGATCAAACAAAAATAAACAAGACGAAATAAATTTATAAATATTTATCAGTATAACTTTTATAATACCTTCCTACGATCTACATTATAAGCAGATGACATTTTCGATTAGCATTTTAATTATAGTGTTATACAAAATTATTCGTGTTTCATAATAATCGATGCGATTTAGAAAATTTTTGTGAAACCCATAACGAAAATCGTTTTAATTTACAACGTCGTTATAATCAGTAGCCGCTTTGGCTGAATCAGTGACATACGTAAACAGGTCTATCATAGAAAGTGTGCAACTGCTCTACACCTGTCCAATAAAAACAACAGCCCACCTAATTACAGCTAATAAGATTCCAATAAATTAAGAATTGCATTTTTATTAAACCGTTATCTGAGAAAATTCCAGTTTTCAATGTTGCTCGATGAAAATTATGTCCCCGATACAAATTAAAGCGTATTTAGCTTAAAAATACTCATCGTTTTATGGCATATGATGGCGAGGTGAACTCATTTGGAATTACACTTTAAACACGGATAATCGTTACTTCGTCTAATTTAAAATCGTTGGCATAAATCAGACACAATGTACAAGAAATCAATTTGGATCTTTAAAGACGACGCGACGTCGTAAAGTAATTAATTCTTAATTGTAATGACAGGTTGAATTCATCATTGAATACATTCGAGCGTACGTAGAGTTCCTAAAAGGATGATATAAAATGACCGTTTTGAAACTGATGCGAGATTCTAAAAAAAGTATTGGTAGAAAGTTTTTGTTAATAAAGATCTATTAAATATAGTGGACAAGTAGTAAATATTTAAAGTGGAATTATCTAAAAAAATATATTTTTTGATATAAATTATTGATAATTTCTATAAGATATAAAATTTTAGTATAAAGAGATTGAAATATAAAGAAAAGAATTAATCTTTGAGATAAGTAATTTTATGAATGTACTAGGTACTATTATTAAATGAATAATCGGCTGTACGATAAGTATGCTCAATCACCCAACGCAATGCGCCAACTTTTACGATGAAAATAAATAAAATTGCCACGCGCTGTTCAGCGCTGAACGTCTATGTAAAGTACAGTTATAAAGAAATTTATTATCATACACGGAATGAAATAAAACAAGATTGACTCTACAAACTTCTCCAGCCACAACATACTCAGATATTGCTTATTTTATTCACTTATTCATTTATAAGGACATATTTCCTTTGCCTTTTTGTGTTCGATGATTCTGTATAAGTTATTTTATAAAATGTTACTTCGATGGGAGCTCTAAATAGTTCAACACCCAATAAAATTTTGTACGTTGTATATACATGTACGTAATGTGTAGGTTCAAGCTGACTATTAATCAATGAATTACCAATAATCAAAGTTAGAAGCAAGCATTTACAGTTCATTTCACTTGAATTGATAAACGCCCTGAGCTCGAATAGCCTCGAGCGCATTGGACTCGACTGTACACGAATGCGTATGTCGCGTGGTTACCAGCTATTAACTGTGTCTCGCTACTACTCCTAGGAGATGTGCAATAAATTATGCGAATTATACACTATGGCGGTACGTGCGCGTGTGATATATTGTGGAATGGCAACACGCTGGAGAGCCTCGGTGTCAGCAAGCGCAAAATTATTCGCTCGACTACGATGTTTGCGCCCAACAACGCTAATACACGTATACATAAGTGTGTTGCTTTTTATTTTTGATTGTTATTTGGTAAATGATAGCCTTCTAGAGGGCTAGAGAAATTATTGCCGTTACTAAGCATAATTTAGAGTGCGAGAGCGTAGTACAACGTTTGTTTCGATGACAATCGGAATCTGTCTGTGTCCGCTGTCGCCGCTTTGTCATTTATATGGCTTGTATCTCGTAACTAATAATATCTTACCGCCGACAGCAGATTGCAATTTTGATCCGCCTATTAAAATAAATATATTTTATTATATACTGCTTTTCTAATCAGATAAACGTACCTATAGGAAAATTTTATAAGACAGACCGCACAGTGAGAGTGACTTAATTAGGTAAGAATTGAGGCCAACTCATTCCCTTCGGCAAAGTTCTCATAAGACATAAATCTATGCAGATGCTACTTAGCTTTTTATGTCTTTAACTTGACGATAATTTTAAAAGAACCATATTTTCAAAGCTGTGACGAATGAACACGCGTAACCGATATGGTTATTAAAGATATCAATAAATTCAGCGAATGACAACGTAATTATAATGAAGGCTCACTGAAAATGTCTGCATAATCAAAGACCTCTGATATCAGGGGCCGGTTGCCTCCGTCCATTAAGTCAGACTCTTTGTAATCCAATTAAATTATAATTTAAGATTAAAATTACATATTGTCTAAAGAACGTCGTGTCTTCGTCGATACTTTGCGTTCGGTTAATGCCATAATAATAAGTACTATATAGATTTATATGCGCGACTGACATCCTTCTGTTGAGTGTTATATTATCATAACTCTCTGACGCATAATTAAGTATTAATGAAATTCAAATATGCTAAGCCACGTGCAGTTAATTTCTTCATAGTTATAAATGATATTAATAGTTTATAGTTTAGACCTTTTAGACAGTTTGGTGTGATAATTCATTTGTTGAGCGGTTCTATTTGGCACGATAATTATAGCGAGACATTCGTATCACGATTAATGGACGATTTAAATATAAAAATATTAGATTTTTAATATAAATCGTGAGTTGTTTGGTATGAAAATGAATTCCCTCTGGCATTTTGTTGTTAATTGATCGTTAGCTACTGTTCTATAAAACTTTATCGCCTCACAGTTTGAAGAAAGTTTGATGGTCAATTTTAACAGCTTTGCGAATATGGTTGATCGTATCGTGTTAATTGGCCATATGAAAATGAGATGCGGTTCGTTATCTGAACCAGTAAATGCATTAAAGATTTTACTTTGCTCGAAGCAAATTCTAAATAGTAATTAATTATCTATGGGCTCGAAAAATGAAATAGAAAACATGAAATTATCTAAATTATACATAGCACCTTTTGCTTAGTGAATTGGTATCATTTAAATTATACGTTACGAGGTATCTGTGTGCCATATTTTTACTAAATAAACTAAACAACAGCGCCATCTTTATTAAACTTATGAAAGCTAAGAAGAGGGTTGTAACTGTATAATGATTTAGTTACATTGTGTTAGGGGTAGAATGTAGATGGCACCACTTTGGGGGTTGCAAAGAATGTGACTCAATGCGATGTTTATTTATTGAAAAATTCGAATGAATAGCTATTGGATTGTAGTAGTTTCTTTTTGAAAATGTGACTATAGTTTATCTGAATATTTAAGAGGTGGTAGCAATATCGTACTTATGGCCTTAAAGGATAAATGACTGTAATGCCTATATACATACATCCACGACAGTTCCATAACAAAATATGAAAATAAGTAGATAGAATAAATTTTATTATAAAAGATTTTAAATAAGGGCTAAACAGTGGCGAACGGTCCATACAAGACGTCTTATCTTAAAATTAATTTGCTCTAATTTTACATATATTTAATTTTTTAAATGTTCTTTTGGAAATACATATATGTATATAAAGATATATATATATATATATATATATATATATATATATATATATATATATAGCTTTATTTCTTTCTGCATTAATACGTATATAAAAATTGTATATTTTTGGAACGGCTTAACTCTGCTAACATTTCACCCTTCGCCACAGGGACTTAGACATAAAAAATGTAGAGCTTTCTTACAAAACTGTTGAAACAAATATTTAATAATAAACATTTTCTCTAAATATTATTGTTTATTAAAAAAAAATCATACACAAACTAAACTTCATGAGTCGTCAGTGACGTTACGCATGGTAGTTCGTAGAGCGAGAATTGTGTCGCACACGCCACGCACCTGCCTTCAACCTGATGCCGAGCCCAACTCGTCAATATATATTTAGCTCCTGCATCGAACTAGTAAAATACTTTATTGTAATTAGATTCAAAATTGACGTGGCCATTTGGCCTTCTATTACTATTATTGAGACTGACAGGGGACGTTTACGACGTTGCTTGATATGTGTGTATGTCAAAACAGTGAGCAAATCTAAAATTGTTCGCTTCAAGTTTATGTAAGTAAGTACCTGATATAGACGCTAATTATATTAGTATAATTATATAAGTCGGTAGAGCAAAACAAAGTAGAGTTGAGTGATAGAAAATCTTCGATAAGCTTTTTGTATTATCCAATTATTATAATATTACATAGATTTATTTATAATAATATTACGTATTTTGAGCATTTACATTATATCATATCATATTTATAAATATATTGCATAGCAAATATTATATTTTAATTATCTATAAGAGTAACTAAAAAGTGATTTTCTAAGTGCCTTGACAAGGGATGATTCAATGCACCTGTCCAAGTCCGTTTTCTTATTTTACAAAAAAATATAATCTTATAGGATAGCCTGTTTTGATAAAAAAAAAGTATATGACTTCTTTTTATTACGCTCAAGACAATGAGTTAACTACATGTTTTACTTCATTTTATTACCCCAATTTGGAGCACTCGGTTCTCAATAAAGACAAATTAGCCTAGTTTATTGTAAAAACTAAAGCTCTAATATCATAAATGCCGTACAAGCTTCGAAAGCGTTTATAGCGTCCATTTTGCCTAACGACGTCTAAATAGATGATACCAGCGAATCTCGTCGTCCGAACATGGTAATGGACAGGATAATTATGCGTAACAACGTGCAACAATAGCGGCGCGGGCTGCGCTGGTTCTATGGCATAATAAGAGCCGGCTTATTTTGATCAACGCAACAAGTAGCAGAGTGGCGGGCGGGGAGGGGCCCGTGCGTGCGCGCGCGCCTGGCACGCGCCCCACCGCCGCACGCCGCTCACTCTACTTAGTGTCGGGGGTGCACGCCACCTCTGCCAATCCACCGGCAACCTCCGCGGCACGCACTCGTGCGCTCGACTTGACCTAATATTCACAGTTTTACACTCGCGATGCCCATGGCGGCGATTCACGCTTACCAAAATCTAGGCGTGAGCCAAAAACTTACGCAACTGCAGAATTCTGCACCTAGACGTCTAGCGCCTGCTCCTGTTGATGCGGCGCGCTGTAAGAAAAGATCTTATCTTAATCAACCTTATCCGACACAACCTGCATCCGTGGCTCGAAGAAATGCAAGGGAAAGGAATAGAGTGAAACAAGTTAACAATGGATTTGCGGCCCTTCGTCAACATATTCCTTCTGCGGTAACGGCGGCCTTGGCAGGTGGTAGGGGTTCTTCGCGAAAACTTAGCAAAGTTGACACTTTAAGGCTTGCTGTTGAATATATAAAAAGCTTGAAACGTTTACTGGAAGAAAGTGAGGAAGGATGTTCCGAAACACAAATGAACATAAGTTTGAACACAAGTGGACCTCAGACACCGCCCTCATCAGAAGAATCCCATTCACCTGCACCTTCATTAATATCAGAAAGTTCAGCGGGGCCTAATTGTCATGATGCTTATGATTCCTATGAACCTATGAGCCCAGAAGATGAAGAGTTACTTGATGTTATTTCATGGTGGCAGCAGCAATGATTTACGGTAAGTTTTAATTTATTTATTTTTTATTTAGAAATACTAAATATATATTATACAAATAAGGTAAAATTATTTAAAGGTTAAAGGAACATTAAAGACGTATCATTTATTATATTCAGCGCTCTACTGATAAAGGACAAGGTTACAAGAAAAAATTGATAAGATAGTGATTATTATATCTAACAAATGAATCTTTGAGTGTGTTGATATAAGCGCTAAGGCTTTGATAGTTCCAAATTTTTATCGGTTTGTTTGTATATTTGTCGCGACTTTGTTTACTTATGGTTTATCAAACTTTATTATTTAAATAACTATAAAATAAGTTATATTTATGTAGTTGTAATTATTTGCAGCGATTTTATTTTTATAAAAAGCTCAGGTAGGTATTAAAAATATGCTAAGCCCTTTGTCCTATTCGTTAGTCACGGTTACCTTACCGGGTCAGGTCTACGCTTTTATGTTGCACAATTTGTAAAGAGATTTAAGACCCTCTGCCATAGAAGCCAAAAAATAAACACATATACTATTATGTCTGCGCATTGAACCGTCGCAGTAGACTATCTATTCTTTGTTAAATCTTGTCAACAAAAAATAATATCTTTGACAATAGCAAAATTTAGAAAAAAAAAATTATAATATTTTTTCTAACCCGTGTAGGTAGATATTTTTACTAGGTATGTAAGAAAATAAAATCAGTTTTAAAAAGTCTCATTGCACCCGCATATTACTATTTCTCTAGTCGAGTAACAATTACCTCTAACAATCTTGTGGTTCTTCCCGCATATAGTGAGAAATTGCACATAAAAACTAGTGTATTCTAATTACGACAGGTCCTTGAGAACAGCTCAGATTTGTAACAAGTGGAAACAGGTTTCACTTCAGTTTCAAATGTTTATTTATTTCAAATCAATACAAAGCATCCGGTCAATAAGATCTGTCGACACATTTTGCCATATGGTCCATCTTCGCAAATTAAAGCCTGGTAGCGCCGTTAAAAAATTAAAATTTGCAAAAAATCTTAGCCCACTCTACCGCCCATTAATTTATTGTGCCGGAAGACGAAATCTCTAGAGGAAATGGAAGGGCGTTCAGAAGCACACGTGTTACAATATTTGCTAAGCACTAAATAAACACCTGGTCGCTCAGTTTGATTTTCATAGGAATTATGCATAAAATATTTAAATAAAGTTTATCAAAATTTGAACTTATATGTATAAATATGGCTTTAATAAAACTCTATATTCTTTAACAGGTATCGTGACTTATGGTGATCACCGGGCATTGAGCGGCTTGATGATTGTGAAAAAAGAAGTATTCGCTTCAAGAAGGACTCGAATGTTGGAGCGCAACGGACTTTGAGAGAACCTTTAATTAAGCGCAATCAGTATATTCCTAATGAGAGGGGATAATGGTGGACTATAACGACCCCATCGATGCATTCCGCCGAGCGACTGAGCAACCGAACTCTGCTTACATTTCATACATGGATGAAATAGCAGTACCAAGACTGAACGATCGATTATTGTTCCATTTAAGCATTTACTTATATCTTAAAAGACTTAAACACGCTGTGCCTTTATACAACCGTATCTTAGCTTCCAATAAGAATTAGATTTATAGTTAAGTTTTAATATTTTATCTAGTCATTATGTTTAATATTTTTAATATAAAGAGTTATCAGGAAAGCTAAGATTATGGAAAATCCGTATGATTTTGATGTTTTTAGATCGAATTAACTTTGAACGATATGTTATATAAATTAAGACAAAAATATGAGTAAACTATATTGAGACAAAGACTTCTAATGTATATAGATCAGATGTAGCACCCTAAGGCAGATTCCTAATAATTTAAGATTTTATATATCGTTGTTTATAATATTAATTGATGAAATCCTCAATTAGAAACACAAATGGTTGTGTCTGTAAATAAATATATACAATGATTTTATAACATACCGTGGTTTATTTTTACCTTTTACTGAATATTTAAAAAACAAAAGGCTTAGTTTGTTTCTTTAATAATATTATACATTTTCAAATTGAAAAAATATATCCACAAATAAAAAATATTTATATTTAATATTTTTGAAATATTAAAAGTCTATAGATGCAATTAATATATATTTTCAGTATGTTCATGAATTTTAAAAAATAACTACCTTATACATATATAACAAAATAAAATAAAACAGAAACTTGAGTTATTATACGTATATAGTACCTACAAAAATTTTTGCAGTTGACCGTATAGACTTATCTACTACACCCTTATTAAAATACTAGCGCTCGGGTTCGTCCCTAGATTGATTATACATAATATACAAACTTTTAGCCTCATTTTCACCCCCTCAAGGGATGATATCCGGGATAAAATTATCTTATGTCCTTCTCAGAGTCTCAAACTATTTTCTTACCGAATTTCATCTAAATCGGTTCAGTAGATCCAGAGATTACCCCCTACAACCTCACATACTCACAAAGTTTACCTCTTTACAATATTAGTATACGTGTAGGTAACTTATTAGAATTTTGTATATAACTTAACTTTATAATACTATTGCAATCAAGAATATATTAGGTTACTTATACTTATAATTTTGCGAATCGATATCTTAACTAACTAAAAAAATTCTTTGAAAGACTACATCCATAGAAATTGTTATTCATGACAAATATATCAAAAGTGACATAATATAAAATTCATATGCAGTTATAAATTTTCTAAAGCTCATAATAAATTACATTGGTTCATGAAAAATGTATGGTCTTGATGCGAAATATATTATGCTTATTAAGTTTTATGAAAATTAAATAATGGAATATAGTTTTTAGCTATAAGTCAGGTTCTAAGGATACATATACTTTTATATTATAACTAGCATTGCCCGCGGCTCCTCCCGCGTTCAGATGACCAAAAACCAAATTCTTAGGTTTTATATATTAATATACTCTTACATAGCAGTTTTTGTATTTTTTCTCAGTAATTAGATATTTTCCCGCAGTAAGAAGTATCCTATATGTTGACCCGGATAACCAGCTATCATCATACCAAATTTCATTAAAATCTATCTAGTGGTTTTCCTGTGATGCGGTAACAGACAGACAAAAATTATAAAAACTATAGATTCGGCTTCTGTATCGATAATAGATTCTATGTCAATAAGATTTTCCAAAAAATATTTAATGTACAGATTCGACTTCGTTAGAATTTTATTATATGTATACTATAATATAAAGAAACAAAACTTTAGGCAAAACTTTTTCGTTTATACGAACAGTATCTAGTTCCTACGTGATAAAATATATAAGTAGGTATGATTACACACAGATCGATCGTATTCATAAAGTATTCTATTCAAAAAACACACTATAATTATTATAAGAAAAAGAACTCAAACTCACATTTCATATCATCGGAATGGACATTCCAAAATAGTTACTTTTTAACTAAAAAGATGAACTGAATCAAAAAACAACCCTTTTAAACCAGTTATTCCACTCTGAGGGGTAGATTATTTTTTTCGATATATTTATTAAGTTTAGGCTTAAATAGAATCATAAAAGTCGATTCAAAATCGATGCAAATTTTGCTTAACACAATTATGCCCGATTTCACCAACAACCCATAAGCTACCACCTACGTATGGGATCCCTAGCTTAAAAGTGCTCTAAACTAGCCCCTAAATTAAATTTCCTTTTACCAGATCGTTAGAGCCCGTATTTCTAGTATGTGTATTTAGGTGGCATTTTAACATTTAGGTGACCCCTAACTGTCGGTGAAACAGAAACTGTCCCCTAACAGCCCCCTAACTATGCTTAGGGGATCCCTTAAACTTAGGTGACGTTGGTGAAATCGGCCATAACACACCCAAATTAAGTAACTACTTATTTAAAGGCGGCCAAAAGAAATATCATGCATGTCATAATTAAAAATCAATCAATGGTTTCACATTAATGCAAGTTTGATTATTATCAATTAATATATCTAAGTACTAGTGAATTTGTTTTAATGTGCCCTTTCCTTTGAACATTTCAAATAAGAAGATAATAAAGTTTACTTGTCACTCGTCAGCTTCAAGGCTTTCGATTTTAATTTCCGGTTGAAATTTCTGATCTATATTTACTATCCAATCAATCATATGATTCAGTCATTAAGTAAATGGTGGCACTTGCTATGGTTATGTCATTATAAATCTGTTTATGATTTATAGATCAGTAATTATGAATGTATTCATTTTTTATTTATTGGTAAATGGGATAAAGTTTTAATATTCTGTTATGACTTTATATTGCGTTATTATTTTTCGAATTCGCAAATAATCTTACAAAAACGCGAACTCAGTTGCAAAATTAAAATAACAAAAGGTGCTTTACCTACACGTGCCTCAACTCAGATTACGTTTCACTAAAAAGAAATACGTTTCTTTCATTAAATATTTGGATATAGTATTTAATTTTAAAAAGACAAGAGAGGGCTACAATGCGATCACGTCGCAAACCCGCCCAGCGAATTCAAATTGCAATAGTAATTTTTGATAATGGAAGGGAAGCTCGGGCCATTATGGGTGGATATTTCCGTCTGCGTATTAATTGTTTGAACTTGTTGCTCTTTAAGAAACGGGACAGACTAGATGCGACGGAAACGCGCAGAGCACACCTGTAGATATTCGCGTAATTTGGCCGATCATACATTGCACTATTAATTGCTAGGCGCTACACTATAGGTATGTAGCATCCGTCTGGTATTTAACAAGTTTTTATATGTATATCTAGTGAGAATAACTTGTTGATTGATAGTGGATTGAAATGAACAATTGACGAAGAGTAATTATTTGACATGGCTTAAAACAGGTTACTTGTCATTTTTTCGTGCTTATTATAATAACTGCAGCCACAAATAAGTTAATGTCTTGTTCTATTACAAGTTTTAAAGGAATGTGTTGAAAATAAACATTAAAATATGCGATATGAATAATGTATATTTCATAACTT